GGTGTTTGCGTAGTCTTGCAGCTGAGTTGTTCAAGCAAAGATAGTCTTAAATTCTTAGGGTTTGGGATGAAGAAGTTTGCATCGTGCTGCAACTGAATTTCAAGAAAATATAGTCTTAAATTCTTAGGGTTTGGGATGAAGAAGTTTGCATCGTGCTGCAACTGAATTTCAAGAGAATTTGGGCCCCTAATTTTGGGGACAAAAACAACAACCCAAATTTGGGCTATATAGTCTTAAATTCTTAGGGTTTGGGATGAAGAAGTTTGCATCGTGCTGCAACTGAATTTCAAGAAAATATAGTCTTAAATTCTTAGGGTTTGGGATGAATGTGTTTGAAGTTCTGATATTCATTGGCAGTGCCACGGGCACGCCTTGTTGAAGGTTTGTTGGATGCATGGTTGTACCTTGGGGTGGCTGATTGTGTTTCGAAGATCATGAGTTCGAAGATCTAGGTTCTGATTGGGCGTCGCCTCGCCTACAGGAGAGGCCTCTGCATGAATTGCTGGGCACGCGCATGGATTTGTTTCATATAAATCATGGACCCTTTCAGGGTGAAGTGTTTTAGATTGATAAATCGAGTGTCCACGTTTGCGTCGAAATTTATCAATTGATAAATCCGTTGTCCATTTTTGCACCGCGATTTATCAATTGATAAATCTGGTGTCCATTTTGCAATGAAATTTATCAATTGATAAATCTGGTGCCCATGTAGGTACCCCAAATTTATCAATTGATAAATTTGGGGTCCAGTAGAGCTCGTAGAATTTATCAATTGATAAATCTGACGCATTCTAGGTATCGCCTGATGTTGTATGATTCACAAACTGGGAGCACCAAAGACCATATGTTGAATTGCGATTGCCACACGTATGGGCCAAGAATATTATGCACAATCCCTGATTTGTTGCCTCAATAGTGGCTCAGTTCACATGTGAGTTTTGAGGTTTATCCACCAACAAATGGCATAATCATGAGTTCTCTCTGTGGGTTTGCCCGGCGTTGATGTAGGTTTTGGGCCGCAACGTTGGAAATCTACGAGCACGCGCATCCGGGATAGTGGCAGCTACCAACAACACACATTCCATACACATCACACACATCACACACACATCACACACATAAGAAAACACAATCACATCAAACAACAGCAATCAAAACACCACTAGCCCAGCTGTGTGTGTAGCGGGTTTGCGCTTGTGCGTGCAGCTTGAGCGCAAAAAAGTGTGCTTGCGTTTCTTGCTGGATTCTCAGGCATAGGGATCCTTCTTGAAGTCCGGTTCGCAGCATGTTGACGAGCTTGTCCTACCCAATCTTACGTTTCGGGCTTTTTTGTGAAGCCCATGTTAATGAAGCTTGTGGATCATTCCATGTTTGATGTTTGGTGGAGGAGTCCCAATTTTGGTTTCTCGTTGTGTGTTCGACGTTAGTCACAAGGCTCCTGTCTGGCACCAATGCACTGGACTTGGCCCAAAGCTGTTGCGCTCCACGTTGCGACTCTCGGTATTAACTGTTTTCACATAGTGCATATGGATCCCATGCCTGTGTCAAAGCTGGCCACGGTATCAGGCAATGATACGCCTGAAAATGTAGGAGGTGGACCAGCGCAAAAGCGGGCCCGCATGCTGGAGAGCATGAGGAGCCACGACGCCTACAAGCGCTACAAGGGCTTGCAAGAGCAGGGCTGGCAGCTTCCGGCCACTCCACGACTGGATCTGCCAAAGCGTGCCTGGGAACGGGCATGCTATAAATGGCGTCATGCAATTTGGGCTGCTTACGAGTAGCGGCGTCCTGCAGTGCTTAGGCTTGCGCAACTCACCGGGCATGAGGTATAAAATTGTCCTGTGATGTGAGCGCATTTGACCTGACGTGCCAGGTAACTTGCTGTGACTATAGGACGAAGGCTTCGTGCCCATGCACACCCGGACTTGTGTTGATGTTGCAGCCATTTTTGTCTCACGTCTATAGTTTGATCACTCCCTCCCATCATGGTGGAGATGTATGAGTGGTGCCATATGTGCGAGGATGATGAAGCCCCTGCTCCAGGCGCATGGACAGTCGTCCCCCCCGTGCAGAGGGAGCGCTTCATAAATGGCGGTGACGCCATATATATGCCTCTGGGAGGCGGAAGGTACTGGAAAATGGAGCGCGGGTCTCAAGAATTGCGGCAAGACTGCCGCACGTACCACTTCTTCCAGCACCGCGGCTCGGGCCACGTGGTGTGCATTCGGGAGTTCATCCAGTCCACGTTTGTCTGCAACATCGAGTTGGCCTTCCGTCAAACACCCCCGAGTGGATGCGTGGAGTTCATTGCCCGTAGCCTCAGCGGCGAGTGCGTGGGGACGGTGTCGCTGGACGTGTGGCAGCGCTTGAGCGTGAAGGGGCTGGAAGTGCGTCTCAGGGAAATCCTGTCCGATAAGGTGCCACCCCATGTGCCGATTCGCCTCGTCTTCCCGGGCAGCCTGCTCTTGCCGATGCGCTTCGCTCTATGGGCGCCTGCCGCGCTCCATAGCCCAGTGCGTGGTCGTTTGGACATCAGGATCCGCCGCAAGTCAGGCCGTGCCGTGGTCAGGTGGATGCATTTCTTGCATAGCCTGAGGCGAGGTAAACCAGTCTCTCCACATGTCTTGCTGCGCTCTATCGCACAGCCTTAAGGAGCGTTTTGTGCAGAGAAGCTGCAGAGTGGTGAGTGCACGCTTGATTTCCGTCACGGTTGCAAAAGTATATAGACATTGTGCCATCTTCCTTTCGGACATGCTAGCCTTGCAGCATTTGTTTGCATGTGTGTTTGCTTGCATGTGTATAAGTGCCAGGACGAGCTTGCTATCATGTTCCAATCTTGTTTCGCACGGGTGCGGTCATGTCTTGAGAGATGCATGCGGCGGCAGGGCGTCTGTGTCGCTCGCTGTCAGCCTTTCAGCGCGCCTGCCTGTAGACTCGCAGCAGCATGGCGGACGCCCTCGTTGAGGAGATCCGACACGTGTGCGCTTTCTTGGCGGCGCAGAACGCCATCACAGGAAACTGCGCGGCTCTAAGGGTCGGCCAAGCCATGAGCTTGGTGAAGAAGATCTCGCAGTCAAAGCTGACCCTTGCCGATGCTGCTGCCGTGTCCAATGTCATTGCCCAAGGCCCATGGTCTGAGGCAGAGAAAGAGCAGCTGGCAGCTGCGGTTGCCCTTGCTGCCCAACAGAAAGATCCCCAAAAGATCGCCGGTGCCAGACGGCCTCTGCAGCGCATGAGCGCATTTGCAGCTTATTTGACACAAACTCAAACTTCCTCAGCAGCGATCGTCCTGCAGCTGAGAAGGTGCACTACGCAGCTGACGTCATGGTGCGGATGGGCCTGGTGATGCCCTCAGAGCCCACATCAGGGCACGTGGTAACTATCAGGGAGTTGGGTGCTGCCGAGCTTGCTGATGGCAACCATTTCCTCAGCGCAGTGCAGGAGTTGAAGCGCAGTGTGAAATCAGCCTCAAAAACCGTGCGCCACGCCTGGCACTTGGAGACATGGCCTGACAACCCTGATGACCTTCCGAAAGAAATCAAGTCCAGTGTCTGGAAGGAAGAGAAGCCAGTTGGGGCTGCTCAAAGCCCTGCCGTAGGATTGCCACCGGCTGGTCCTGTCAGAAAGACTTCCCGGCAGGTGTTGCCTGCGACTTCGCAGCCACAAACCCTGCAGGGGATGATGCAGATGTTTGCAGCTGCAGCTGCAGGCATGCTCAACGCTCCCTCCACCAGGGCTCCTATTCAATACTTGCCGCAGACAAGGGCAACCATTCCCCTTGCGCTTGGTGACCGCCAGCCACAGGAAGCCCCTGCCCCAGCAGCTGGTCACCCTGGGAGCCCTGGTCTGGAAGATGGGCCGAGCCCGGCCCTTTCATCAGGCCAACAACGCCCACTATGCCAAACACGTCGCCTGCTCCCTCGCCGCCGGCCAGCAGCTCCCGTGACAAAGAGCCCTTGGACCCTGCGTCGCAGGCAAGGATCATGTTAGATAGCTGGAAGAGCAAGTCTGACTCGCAGGAGGCTGCGGATGGGAGTGTGCCTGCAGACAAGCCAAAGGCCAGTGCCAAGGGCAAGGCCGCCATGAAGAAGCCGAGCGCTAAATCACAGGCTGCGGCAAAGCCATGCGCCAAGCCAAAGGCCAAGCCAGGCGCCAAGCCAAAGGCTAAGATGGCGGTTTGCAAGCCAAAGACAAAAGCCGAGTCAACCGACAAGGGGTGGGAGTGGAAGGTGGCGAAGCGTGCCCAAGTGGCAAGCTGGCCAAAGGACAAGCGTATGCGCAAAAGTCCCCACGGATGCGCCAAGTGCCGATGGCAGCCGGGGTGTGCTCCTTCTTGCTATTTCCCTTGAAGGCATTTTGTCAATGTTTGCCAGCTAGTTTTGCGTGTGCATGAAGGGCTTGCATGCAGTGATGTGGCCATGTCATGTCTTGGACATGCCCACTTGGGGAGCCCATGCGTGTCCTTTTGCACGCACAAATCGGTGGATTGAAAAGAGCGTATGATCGACTTGCTTTGTCAGCTTGAATACATTGAGCGCTTGGTGCTTCTGCAACATGTTGGGCTCTTTTTTTGATTGGGCCCGCTGCAGGTGTATATGCTTGAGCGAGAACATCCGTGTGAGGTTGGCGGCTTAAAATGAGTTCAATGACCGCTCCACACTCACGTGATTGGCCATGGCCTGCATTCCATGTTTCCAATATAGTTGGCGGTGATGAGCCCAGTTTGTGAGCCATGCCATGCGTTGCTTGGTGATCGCATGCGGCGCAGTCGTTGCGCTCAGGGCGATATATATAGAGGTGACCGAGCTATTTAGGAAAGCTTGTCTATTTGCCAGTTTTCCCCAACCAGCTTTTGATTCTCAGTTTTGAGAAAAGTTCCCGCATCACACAACACGTTGTAGTCCATCGCCTCGCTTGGCTTGCGTACCGACCATGGCGGATTCTTCGCTGGCAGTGCAACCTGTGCACGCCAGCAGCCTCGCTTGGCTTGCGTGCCGACCATGGCGGTTTCTTCGCTGGCAGTGCAGCCTGTGCACGCCAGCAGCGCCAGTTCTGCAGCACGCCTCTCCTCTATAGGTCGAAGGTCATATGTGTCTATACGGGGCCTGGAGGCAGTGCTTGCAGATGTGAAGCAGTTGGGCGAGCTCCCTGACAGTGTATCTCGCAGGACCATCAAAAGGCGTAGGGATGAGCAGCTGGCGGAATGCAGCACCGAGTTCGGACCTTTGATGCAGTTCATGGATGTGCCTGAGGAGGACAAGCCCGGAGAAGTTGTCAAGGTGCCCATCCTCCCTCCAGCAGCTTGGTTGGCGTCTGCGACGTATCAGTGCGCTGGGTGGAGGTCCTTCTTTCAGGCACGGCTCCAAGCCAGCCCATGCAGCCATACGGCGCCGTGGAAGATAGTGGTCTATGCTGATGAAGTGAGCCCGGGGAACCAGCTCAAACACTGCAACGCTCGTAAACTTCAAGTTCTGTATTGGTCATTTTGGGAACTTGGTCCACATGCTCTTAGCACTGAATCTTGTTGGTTCCCATTAATGGCCGTACGGTCATGCCTGGTGCAGAAACTTGGCGGCATGTCAAAGCTGTGGCGGCAGGCTATGGAATTGTTTTTTACCGGCCATGATTTCCGAACAGGCCTGTATTTGAGAACATATGGCACCTTGGTCTTTGCCGACATCGGTGTCCTTGTTGCAGACGAAGCGGCCATCAAGCAGGCCCTGGAAAACAAAGGCGCCTCAGGGACAGTTCTTTGTTGCCACTGCTCCAACGTCATCGACTTCAAGAGCCAGCTTCAGTGGCATGACCGGTCCGGCGAGTTGGTGAGCTCTTTGAGCACTGATGTGAGGTCATGGCGCCTTCACACAGAGAACAGTGTGAAGCAACTCATTGCTTTTTTGCAGGAGCAGCGCTCAGTTCTGAACCTCGGGCAGTTTGCCAAGTTGGAGCAGTCTCTCGGCTTCAACTTCCGTCCTCACGGCCTGCTGGCACAGCCCGAATGGGGCCCAAAGTTTGTGGAGAGAACAATGTTCGATTGGATGCATGTGTACTTGGTACATGGCGTGGCCAACGTGCAATGTGGCCTGGTGGTCGGCGTTTTGGCACGACATGGCTTCAGCATCAAGCACATGCGCGAATTTGCGCAAGGTTTCAACTGGCCAGCTCGGCTTCGAGGAGCAGCGCCCAAGACTGTGCTCGACAAACGGGGCGCCAGCGAGCCCATCAAGTGTAGCGCCAGTGAGCTGCTGAACTTTGTACAACTGCTGAGAGCCTTTGTTCTTCTTTTTGTCTGCTCGACGGAGCCAGCCCAGAAGGTCAAGGACGTGGTAGAGTGTTTTTTTCTGCTTTGCGAGATCCTTGACACATATACGACCTTGCCACATCGAAGGCATGATGCCAACATGCTCTTGCAGACTGTCCAGCAGCATCTGGAGACCTTCAAACGCATCCATGGCGTTGATCACTGGACAACAAAATTTCACTTATCCCTCCACTTGCCCTCGCAGCTGAAGAAGCACGGATGCTTGGTAAGCTGCTTCGTGCACGAGCGCAAACACAAATGCGTCAAGCGGGTTGCAAATCATGTTTTGGACACTAGCAAGGCCTTCGAGTCATCAGTCTTGCAGGACATCGTTTACCGGCAGTTCGATGTTATGAAGTCTCCTGCAGAAATGCCTGGTTCCGCTGTGTCTCTGGTCAATGCCAGGGCGGCCCCAAAGCGGCTTGCCAACGTGGTCAGGCAAAGCTTGGGCGCTCTCGAGGACGCCGTGGTTGAATCAGCAGCGGACGCAATCCACGCAGGAGGGTATACTGTGGCCAGAGGCGATATAGCTTCGATCCAGCTATATCATGCTGCCCAGGTGGAGAAGCGCGTCGGCCGTATCGAATTCCATGCTGCCGTGGGGCAGGTCACATGGTCATGTGTGCACCTTTGGGATACTGTGGACGGCTTCATGTACAGAGTCAAGGACAACCCAGTCCTGATTCCTACTGAATGGATCTTGGGCACATGCCCTTGGTCTCAACGCGATGGTGCTGCAATTGTACTTTTGCCGCCCACTTAAATCTGTGCATGGGAGCATGGCCGTGAGTTGGAAAAGCCCACTGCTTGTGGACCACCAAGTTGCATTGGGTTTGCTTCCAGTTTCCACTTCTAGTTGGTGGAGGGGAAGGTGTTCCAAGCTGTGGATTCAGATTCCAACCCTAAAAATGCATGTGTATGCTCCGCCTGCCATAGACTTCAAGATCACTGGCATGCATGCAAGGCATGATCTGTTTGTATATCCGTGCAAAAGTGAGCCTTTGGTCCTGCAGCTTAGATTTGGTTTGCGCAGTGATTGCAAGGCGTGTTCACGCAGCAGTGCAAATTGGCTTGCGAGCCCATGGCCCTGCATGCATGCTTGTTTCAGAATCTGTGCATGGGGAGCTTTATTTTTGTGCTTGTTGAATTCGTGCGTGTTCTGCATGATTGCAAGGTACGCTGCAACCGTGCAAAACTGTTGCGAGCCAGCGGCCCTGCGAGCTTGCCTGCTCGAGCCTGCGCACGCATGCGCAAGCAAGGGGCGAGTCTTTTTAGTCAAAGTTGATAAAGTAAATACTAAGTGATGTTTCATTGGGGCAGTTTGATCCTCGTTGTTCCCCAGCCTTCGCTCTTCATTGTAAAGTTGCGTGTGCGTGCTAAACATGTTTGCGAGCCCCAGGCCCTGCATGCAGACTTGAGGCCCTTTATAAATTGTATATAAGGTGTTGCGTGCAGACTTGCCGCCCTTGCATGAAGACACGAGGCACTGCATGCAGACTTGAGGCCCTTGCGTGAAGACTTGAAGCGCTGCGTGGTGTGCGCGCATCATTCGATCATGCCATTTTGGCATCGCGAAGGACTTGTTTTTGTCTTCTTTCAAATATAATTTTGCTTTTGGCAGCTGCAGCCATTGCCCCGTGCATGGTTATGGCTGCGTTCCTTCCTTACGTCGTAAGTCTTGTAAGTACATTTGCCTAAGTGCGATAAATCAATTTGTGTAACTTTGCTATGTAATTTGCCATGTGCTGTAAGTTCTTTTGCATGTTGGCTATGTACATAGTGAGTAGGCTAAATAGATACTAACCCCCACGCCCCTTTAAGAGCGCAGCCAACCTTCAGAAAAGGCTTTGATCATGTGTTCGGCATTCTCAGTCTTCATGACTAAGAGGTCGTAGGCCTCGAGCAAGGGAATCACGACTCGCAGGCGAGTAGCGAAATCGATGAACACAGCAAACTTGACCTTCTTGAGGAGGCCAGGCACGGTCCACTCTGCTGTATCTACACCGACAGTTTCCCAAGGTCCATAGAGCTCGTGTGTGGCTGCTGGTGGGATAGCACCGGAGCTGGTGCCACCAGGTCGAAGAGATTCACATCCCGGGCACTTGTAGTTCTCGGCTGCCCGTAGTTTCCATTGTGGTTGACCTGATTCTCGAAGTAGACGAACCAGATTCCGGGACGTAGGATGTCCGGCAGCCTTGTGATAATGAGCCACCTTAGCTTCCCATTTGCGAAGCTCTTCTGGAGAGGGACCATCACCATCGTGAACTACCGGTGGAGCAGCAGGGGGGACAGGAGCAGGTAGAACCGGAGGTCCAGGCACTGGTACGGCAGGGTCACCAGCTGGTGGTGGATCATCAGCAGGTAGAGCAGCGGGAAAGATGTCCACCTCCTCTTCCAAGTCGTGAAGATTCTTGATGGCCGTTGCACAACGAAGTTGCCGAAGTCCAACTTCTTGATCGCGCCAAAAGCGTGCAAAGGAAGTGACCATCTTCCAAGGGTAGTAGGCCGTCTTGGCGGTCTCCTGACCAGCGATTTCACCATGAGGATGTTGGGCACAGCAGACCTTACAGCGGTAGGAATGCCAGAAGGATTCATCGTTGGTCTGAATGCGCCACTTCTTCCTCAAGAACTCACCGGTGGTGGTGCGCATGTCATAGACACAGCCATCTATCCGGCACGGATTCCAGGGGATGAAGTTGGTGTCCATGTAACTCTTGAGGTCAAGCAGGGTGGATTCTTTCCAGCCCTCACATTGTACCGGCCATTCCCAGTAGATGAGTACATCAGGGTCAACCTTGAGGCAGTCCTTGATGAAAGCATTGGCCTGCTTGAGCATGCGACGTTCGCGTCGTCGATAGTCTTCAAGAAGATCTCGACGCTCAGGAGTCCGGTAGTTCAACCGATTCCAAGGACACCACTTTGTGCAAGGTAGTGAGAATATTCTTCTCGAAGACGCTGCCAGATGGCCGGCTTATAGAGATCATATCCTTGTTCAAGATTGACTCGATGAGGTTGAAGACCTTCTCGATCACAGGCTTCAGATAGCCAGGAATGAGGTGCGCATGCAATTTCCCAGAGTCCGTCACGACCATCCATGACAAACTTCGCAGTCTCGGTGGTGAGCTGGTTGAGCATGAGGGTGGCCATCAACATTACCTTCTTGGCCATGTTGTGAGAGACCGGATGAGCCTTCACTGAGACTCCTCCTCCAGCTCCTGACCGACCGCGTCCCAACTTGTCGGTGTGCTGCTGACGGATGGTTGTGCTTGAGGTTGAGGCTTGGAGACCTTCTTGGTCGGGTAGCCCTTGGAGATCTTGGTCAGGGACTGGCCGATGACCGCCTCGATGGAGGAGTGCAGAGCTTCCTCGGCCTCGATCTTCTTGAACATCGCCCGGCAGATGTCGGCCGTGGGAATGTGACCATTCATCAGGGGCTGCAGCTCGTTGAGCATCCTCAGCACCATGCCGGGGTTCTCGTTCCTGGCCGAGTTGCCATGTGACCCTTTTCGAGGGATGTACTCCAGACGCACTTGACATACGGCACAATCGATCCATTGAGCGTGTGGGTTGGACTGAGCTCGAGCAGGGAGATGCTTGCCGTAGCATGGCCATTGAGCCATCTGTGCACGGGGGTCTCGAAGGTCGATCCCATTCTTGCGACTCGGATCCAAAGGTCGGGCCGGACTGCGGCTCGGAGTACTCTTCTTGATGTGACCAATCAACTCCTCGGCTTCGGCGGTCGTCACGGTTGGAGTCGAAGGCTGAGCCATCAGCGCCGAACTGAGGAGTTCTCGAATTGCAAAGGGGTACTGTTACCACCAGACATTGAGCAACTGGCAGCTGACGGGTCATGAAATGGTTGATCATTTCGAAGAGCAACCGATGCGGCATGCAGAGTTCGGAGTCTTTCACAAGATTGTTCAACCCGTACCTCATCAGGAACGATATGATCCACGGTCATGTCATAATACTCAACCGCATGGAACTCCAGTTGATGGATGGTTTCCACTTCAGGGGGTGCTTGATGGAGTACACGGATTTCCGGATGGCCTTGATCATTACCACATCCCCTAGTCAAGTAATGGACGAGGTCCAAGACATAGTGGCCCTTCTTGGTGGTCCGAAGTTGATATGGTTCTGGATGAGGGTCATGAGCATCCATAGCCAGTCCCGTGGAAAAGTCAATGATCATCGCTGAGGGGTCCCTTGCCAAGTGATCCATGCCCAGAAGTAAGGGGACCAAGCTGGTTTTGTCGAACTGGGGATGATGAAGATCCGGTGGATTGGGCAGGGCATACACGGAGAAGCTCTGGGGTTGTCCCGAACTGGTAGATGTGATAGTGACACGATATAGAGCCTTACCCCACTTACCATTGCCAAAGCGAAAGCACGGCCGCATGTACTTTTCAATCTGGATGGAAGCTGCCTTGTCCAAGGCCAAAACTGACTTGATCAGTCCCTTGACCGATTCCTCAGGGCCGGCTGACGCGGTGGCTCCACAACCGATCAGAGCTTCACCATCTTGAATATGCGGGGTGTTGCCGTTGGGAGGCAGGTCGGAGTGACTGTTGAAGAATTCCAGGCCGTGGGCATAGTACTCCGTGTTGTACATGTTCACAGGTGGACGGCCAATAGGCGATCCCTTGGGGGTTCCTTTGGAGCCTTTCCAAGCAGCCTGAAGATCTATCCAGTTGGCGAACTTGCCCTTGCGCCCCTTCGACTTGCTCTTGCCCTTGCCCTTGCCGATGAAGTAGTCGTCGTGGTACGTCGCGAAGTCGTCGACGTAGTGCATGAAGCGACCCTTAGGGCGATTCTTGGCACCCGGATGGGACCGATCTGGGCAGTCCCGAGCGAAGTGTTGACCTCCGCATCGAAAGCACCCGGTGTCTGAGGAAGACATCGGTTTCTGATGGCCAAAGCCACGATCTCGTCGAAGAGCAGCTGTAGCTCGCTGAGCTTCAGTCCATGTACGCTGGGCCTCCATGGCGAGGTTTTCCGCCATGCGCTCAGCGGCTTGAGCTTCCTGTAGTTGAGGGTCAGCAGGATCATCACCTTGGAGTTGATGGGCTTGAGCTTCAGAAGGTTCAGGTTCTTCAGGGATGTCGCCGTACCCGTAGTACTGGTCATAGTTAGGGTCCGTCCAGGAGTCCCAGTCGGTCTCCGCGGCATAGTCTTGAAGCCACCAATCGGACTCCTCCATGGGGGACTCAATCATGTTTTGGTAGTGCCAGGAAGGACGAGGTTGGGATTGATGTGATACTCCCGGTCTACCTAGAAGTTGCTCGTCCCACATGGTCTGGAGGGCCTTGACGATGACCTCAAACTCCAAGGATCCACGAGTAGCAGAAACGATGTCACGCTTCTCGTCAGCATTTAGTCCCGCCGCCTGTAGCAGTCGAAACCCACGAAGTACTCCAAGCACAAAGGAATCTGCCAAGGAGATCCAGGGTCATCAGGACCAACTGCGGCAGAATGCCGACTCGGAGTGGATCTCGGTGGAGGTCGAAGAGGGGAGCCAACTGATCCATCGGTATCACCAGCCGCAGGTCTGGTTGTAGGTGAGGGAGAAGGTCGAGCACGGTCTCCGAGATCATCATCATCATCAGGATCAGGTTGATCCTCACCCGGCTCCGCCTCGTCGGTGACATACTCCTCGGGAAGGTCGAAGTCCTTCTCGTGCTGTTCGATGCCCATCTTATCATCCTTAAGGCGTTCCAGCGCCTCGATGAATTCGCTGTAGCCGAGTGCTTCCCGTACAAGGAA